AGATTTAATGCAATCCCTATCAGGCTACCACCAACATATCTCACAGACATACAGAAATCATTCCTAAAATTTATCTGGAACTGGAAAAGACCTAGAATATCAAAGGCAATTCTGGGCAATAAAGACAAGGCAGGTGGCATTACCATTCCTGACTTGAAATTATACTACAAGGCTACTGTGATAAAGTCAGCATGATACTGGCATCAAAATAGACCTGAGGATCAATGGAATAGACTAGAAGACACCGAGGCCCCTACAAACACACACAAAATAAGGGATCATTAGTTTTACAGACAGTAAAACTTCTTTTGGTAATAAGATGATATATTCAACAGATGTCTCTTAAATGATTCTTTGCTAAAGCATCAACTTCATATAGCAGTATGATGTCAAGAAAAGTCAGAAAATATCTGCCTTATGGTTTTTGGAACAAATTATAAAATAATACATTGCATACATACAGTGTACAATGTTCTAGAACACAGTCAGGGCCACTCAAAATACATTTATTTTGGACGCTGGCATGGGTCCCTAGCTTCAGCTGTTTGGGGGCCCTCTGCTAAAGCAGGAGGATGCTTAAATGCAGGAGTTTAGCACCAGCCTGGGCACAATAGGAGGAGCTTGTGAAAGAAAGAAAGAAGGAAGAGGAAGGGAACAAAGAGGGGAGGAAGAAAAAAATGTGTATTTTGGGCAGATTGACAACCTTGAGATAATCAGCTCTGATCTCAGGAAGGGCTATACTCTTTTTTTTTTTTTTTTTATTTTATTTATGTGTGTGTGTGTGTGTGGCCAGTTCAGCCCACTAGGGGGCGGGGCTGGCTGGCATGTGGTGCTGGTGGATTGAACCGCGTTCCCTTGTGCTTTGCTAAGCTTGTTCTAAGTAGGTGCTTTAGACCACTGAGCCATCTCCCCAGCCCAAGGGCTATACTCTCTACTGCACATGCCTTTGCCATCCAGTCCACATCCAGTCAGAGCTATTTCATTTCATTTCAGTTGACTTTTAGCATAATAGAAAGGACTTTAGATAATAAAGTTATATGTTGGTCATAGAGTCCAATGAGTGCTGAGTTCTGCGAGGGGCTGGGAGGGGCTAAATCAGCTGTTCAGTAAAACTGATTCTCTTATTGAAGTCTTGGTTTCTTTAGTGTGGATAGTTCCCATAATTGGCTGGGGACGTTAGTATCTGGTAACTGCCAATGTTGTGATTGTTACTAACCCTTGCATAGATTGAAAAAAACAAAAACAAAAACAAAAAAAAAAACAAAAAAAACCAAAATCCAGAAAGAAGCAATGCTTCTGTGATTAACAGTAGCAATACAATACCTATATAGTAAGTACATTGTAATACAATGGACTTGTGGACTTCAGACCTGAGAAGGCCTTAGACCTGAGAAAGTCAGAAAGGAGACTATCTGAGGTGCCTCGCTGATTTATTCTGCTGGTACTTGAGGAAAGGAATTGTCTGACATATATATTATTTTATTTTTTCCAGGTTCAGATTAAAAAATGATTTCTGGATTGAAAAATCTGAATCATTTAAGATGGTGCCCTGGGTTGGCATATACCTTTCCTGTTCCTCTCTCAGGACAAGAATTCCATTTTCCCTTGTAGGCTCTCAAGGCAGGGTTAATGGAAGCAGGAAGTTTGGGGCTGCAAACTGCTTTCAAAGATAGAAAACAACCCAGGCCTGGGGCCAGAAATAGTGAGAAAGGGGGAAGACAGTGTGGGTTCTAATCAGTTTTACAAATCCTTCCTTTAGGGGCTGTTTTCCAACAGCTTTCTTTGATGGGGTTAGAAATAGATGCCCTGATCCCCTTAGGAAGTAACAGCATAGTGAAAAAATCCTAACAGCTTGGATGTGTTTAACAAACTACTTTCATAAATACTGGCTTTTAGTTGTTACATGTGAAGTAGACCTAGCTATGGGTTTAAATTTTTCCTCCTTAGGCAAGAAAGTTGAGCCTCACAGCTCATTCCCGTTTTTTTTTTTTTTTTTTTTTGTCCCCACCTTCTAGTTTCAGTCTCAGATGTCATTGCAGACAACAAGTTCTGTGTTGGGCCTTAATGGGGCTACTGGAGTTGGGGTGTCCAACCCTATTGCACCCCACTACTGTGCTGTAGGAAACCCAAGATCTTACAGGAAATACAATCCCTCAAAACCCTTCTTGGGGGCTCCTTATTTTTTATTTCTTCATTTAATATAAGCACATGTTATAGGAAAGTCCCTCTCAAAAATGGTCCAGGAAATGCTAAACTGTAGCTAAATCTAATTAGTCTAAGGGGTGAGTTTTTAATAACGACACCTACAGTTTTAGCACAGAAGTCAAGGTGATAAGGACAAAAACTCTGGAGGAAAACTATTATTATATTTAAAAAAGATAAATGAACAATAAATCCACTGAGAAAACTTGCACAGTTCTTCCTTCCCTCAGAATCTAATCATTTTTAAGAGGAGGAGCTTAGGAAAAATAAAAGATTATGTAAATATTGAACCAATATTTTAAGTTAATTGCTATTCTTTGAAGAGGCAGTAGGCTAAAATGGACAAAGGATTCCTCCTTGTACAACCCCTCAATCTCTGAGCAGGGAGGGCTGTGAAAAGCAAAGTTCAGCCCCACACTGAGCTTCTTGTCCCACCCCTACAGATCGCCACCCATTGTTCAAGCCAGTGTCTGGAAAAGGATACATAAGCTGCCAATTCCAAAGTATGGTATAGTTTTTAAAAAATAACTTTATTTTAAAGTGGTTTAAGCAAAGAACAACTTTAAATCTTTTCCTTTTGGTCTTATATATTACTATTTTAAAAAATTTCCTACCCATGATTTTATTTCTTACTTCACATCACTTATTTTATAGTTTATGTTCCTTTTCTACCTTTATCTTAACTTAAAACAAATGAAATCCTTCAGTCTCTTTCATGTTTTAGTGATAAATTTTTCTTTGATGGTATATTTTCCTGTAGCTGCTTGATCTATGACAGATAGATGACTGAGTCTCTTCATCCTTTGTATGTCAACTGTCATCTAAATTCTAATATTCTGTTCTCCAACTTAGATGTTTGTGTTTATTATAATGAATTTCTGGCCAGAAGATTGTATCAAATAAAAACAATAGTTTAATGTTTAAAAGATCAAACAAAGACTGAATAAGGAAATATGTAAGGAAACTCTGCTAGCTTTATTTTCCAAAACCCTAAGGGTCACACCTCTCAAGTCTTCCAGGGTCACTTCTCCCAGGTGCTCTATGCTCCAGGCAGTCTGTGTCCCCTGGCAACTGTGTAAAGGGACCTCTTTCTACAATTCCTTAGCTGCTTTGGAAAAGAGCCAGGTCGCTAAAGCTGTTAAAAGCCTCTCCATATTTCACAGGTAAACACAGAAGAGCAGACACATGATTTCCTAGGTGCTGTTTAGAATTCAGTTATGTACTATTCACAGATTTGTTTGGCAGACGGTGAGGACCGTGGAAGCAGAAAGTAAACCATCAACATGCTAGCGGCTTTTGCTCCAGAGATTCGGTGTGAAAGTTTTTCTGGTGGTCTAAGGCAGAAAAACTTGGTTTGCAAACTTTTTCCCTGCCTTGGGAGAGGTGTCAACTTTAATGATGACACTAATTATAAAGGTCAATAAATGATAATCTATGAGGGACCCAAAACCCAAGGAGCCTTCATTAAAACAAGAGCACAACTACAACTCCGGAGGAATGTTGTTATAATCACCAGACGTTTAAGTGTGCTCATCAATGTGCAGGTATTTCTGAAAGATCTTCCTTTTTATTTAGTTTTAATTACGGAAGTCAACGTACAAAGAGAAAAGCATAATGAAACTTTATGTACCCGTTGCCCATCTTGTCTCATCTACTCTCGTTCCTCCATGGTTGAAAAAAGTTTAAAGTATCAAAACACGACAGCATTTTACTTCTGCATATTTCTGTAAGCAAGCTGAAGATGTTCCGTCACTCAATTGGTTAACGCAATTGACTTGCAGAACAACATAAAGGAGCACACAACGCTTTCCTCTGGCAGAATCAGTTGTCTCAAAAGTGCTCCAGCTGCCCCTTGCGCTCGGAGCACAGCTACTACGTGGGCCAGACCCAGGTTAGTGAAGAGGAAAAAGGAAGACACGCGGGCAGGTAACCCAGTGACTACCCAGCCCCCACCGAGCAAGCGCAATGCAGAGCCCAGCGTTGCTAAGGCCCAGAGGAAAATGGAGGCGCAGGCCGCAGCGAGAGCCAATCACAAGCCTTAAAAGCCGGTCAACTAGCCAATCCACATTCTCAGGTGAATCGGATCCGCCCTTTTCCTCTAGCCCCCACCTATATCCAATCAGAGAGTCTACATCTTTGGGCGGCCTTTTCAAAACAGCGAAAGCAAAACAAATCTGAGACCTTTAAACGGAGCAAAGCGAGCGAACCCAGTGTCCTTCCGCTCCTTATTCTCTTGCTTTCCTTCCTTCACCTGCCGATCCATCGCAGAATAAACCTGACTCCCAGCTCACACGCCCCGTCGAGGGTTGAGAGAAGGTGGACGGCCCAGTTGGGTCACAGTCACAGAGGCCGACGCCGCAGCCGGATGGCAGGACTCTTTTTCATGGTCTGTGGCCGCCGTGGATCCCTCCGCGGAAAGTCACGTGCCCCGCCCCTTGGGGGCGTAGCGAACTCAAAACAAAACACTGGCCGGCCAGGCTGCGGGTGTGGAGCCGGCGTACTGCCCTTCGGAGGGGGCTCTACCATGAGCCCGCGGCTGTGAGGCCGAGGCAGCGGCGGCAGGGAGAGTCGGATGCCGGGCCCCGGGCTACGCTGAACGGCTGGGCTGGACCTTGGAGACGCCCTGTCCCCTAGGGCCAGAGCAGCCGGGCGCCGGCGGGGGCGCGTCTCGGGCACTGTGAGTTCGGGGCCCGGGATCTCCAGCGGGGCGGGGCGACTCAGGTGCTTTGTTTGCCCCGACCGGGAGTCAGGGTCGCCCAACTACGCCGACCGGGAGCCGCGGTGGGAGATCTGGCTCCGTCTTCGTTCAGCGACTGCTCTGGCGTAGCTACTCGCGTTGTCCGCCTCGGTTCCCCAATTCGAGGGGAACTCCGGGCCTTGGTGATGGTGGTGTGCGGGGGCTTGCACTAGTTACCCTCTCGGTTCCCCGCTTTCCGGATGGGGTCGGCTGCCTCTCGGACTCGGAAACCTAGTGCGAGCCTGGGGCCCTGACTACGGGGCGGGGCTCCGGGTCTCCTCCTTCCTGTTCTTTGTTCAGTCGGAGACTTTTTCTCCTTCCTCCGCTATTATGCCGCGCCGCCCCCCACCTGGGGCCATCGCTACCCTCGGGGCCAAAACTGTCCCCCTCCCGCTTGGCTTGGGAGTGAGGGGCGGGAGGCGGCGGACCGTGGGACCCCCCAGTTTGTGAGCCGCCATCGACTGGGGCTGGCCGGTTGGAGCCGGCGCCGGCTGGCAGACGTGGCCAGGTCCCGCCCCCTGCCACACCTCCTCGGCCTTGGGGAGGGTCTCTTGGGACTCGTGGACGTGACCGATCCCCTCACCCGCTCTTCGCCGTGGTGTGCTGGGGCGCCTCTCGCTGGAGGTATTCCCACTAGCTCGTTTCTGCCTACTCCCGGTCCCTGTCATTCCTGTTACCTCTTACCCGTTTTGTGTTATGTTTGCTGCAGATGAAAGATTTGGGGCCGGAGTACTTGGCAAGTCCTGAAGGGGTCCAGCTTCTTGGATTGTTGAGCTTCTATCTAGAACAAGAACAGAGATTCCAACCTCGAGAAAAAGGGCTGAGCTTGATAGAGACTACCCCAGAGGTGAGTTGCCCACAGGTGACTTGCCCCAGCACCTGAGGTCTCAGAGGAGGCATTGCTCTTCACCCCTCATCCCCGCCCCCAGTTGAATCAATACTAAAGCCCGCAGAACCCCTAAATAGCAAACTTAGACTTCCTGAACAGCTAAGATTATCTCAGTACTATACATGGCTGTGCTTTTGTTAGCAGGAACGGACTTAAATATAGAGAGATATTTCTTCGAATTTTGGCACCCTTAACCTGCAGCTGCTGGGTGGGAGACTTATAGGGAATTGACCAGCTTCTTTCCTTTGCTCTGCCTCTGAAGTATTTATAGTAGGATCTTAAATGATTTTAGGAAATAAAAACTTTTTACTCCAAGGGAATCGAGTTATGCTGTAACTCTGTAATATGGCAAATATTCATGGTTAAATCTTTTCAGGATGTGTATTTAAAAAAGCACAGTTGTATAACAGTTATATAAAAAACAGATGTATAGTTTTAGTTAACTGATAACTTCTTTACCTCCATATTGTTGAAAATCCAGAGGAAGAAGGGGATACTTTATTCATTGTGTACTGTTCATCTAGTTCTAAGAAAATGATAAAATTTTATTTATGGTTTTTTTGTTGCAGAATGATAACACTTTGTGTTCAAGATTGAGAAATGCCAAAGTAGAAGATTTAAGAAGTATAACTAACTTCTTTGGATCTTGCACTGAAACTTTTGTCCTGGCTGTCAATATTTTGGACAGATTTTTGGCTCTTATGAAGGTATTTAATCAATTTTTAAAATGCAACTTTATTTTTCTATGCCCATATGTATATATAGGGTTCAATAAATATTTATCAAGTGAGTCTAATAGCCTGTTATATATGTAAACCTTTATAATAGAACTGTGATGCTTAGTGCCAGACTCAGACTACAAAATTAAGTATATTTTTTATGTTAAGTAGGTTTTGCTGTACCTCTTAAATACTTTCTCTTGGAAGATGTAACAAAAGGAAGACTACTTTTTTTTAGGTTCTTAGTACATATGTATACAATCTTCAGAAATAAGGCTTTTTCTTGTTTCCATTGGAGCCTATGTGTTGTTAATACTGAAACATGACTGATGAAATACAAAATTATATTGAAGGCAACTCATTGCCTGTTTTGTCTTTTCAAAGCAGAGTCACAGTCTCATTAATAATCACCAGCAGCTATTAGGAAAATGTGGTAGCTCCTCTGTCAGTAAAATTGCTTTTGGCTGTGAGGTCAGTGTTGGGGCACTGAGAAGAAGGGGTAGCCATCTTCCTGGCAACTTCACATGTGTCCCACAGGCTACCCAAACTTACGTTTCCTTTCTCTTGTGCAACAATACATTAAAGTGGATTTCTGCAGACAAAGATAAAATGTAGGAAGCACTGTTTTTCTTTTTTTTTTTTTTTTAACCTTTTATTTATTTGGTACAGGATCTCACTATGCAGCTTGAACTAATAGTGATATTCCAGTGTCAACCTCCCCAAGTGCTGGGATTATAGGCGTGTGCCTCCACACCTGGTTCCAGGGCCAGCATGGCATGCGGTACTGGGGATCAAACCTGGGTCCTTGTGCTTGCAAGGCAGATGCTTAGAACGCTGAGCTATCTTCCCTGCCCCCAAAACACTGTTTCTATATCCAAAGTAATTCTTTTGGGTGTTGGAAGACAATTTGCTTTTAGAGAGATCATACTATTTCAAATTTTGTAAGTCTGAAATACAAAAATTCTGCTAGAAGTCCAGCTTTTAAACCTTCATGAATTTCTTATTTAGTCTGCATATTTGAGTTTAAGTAATGTAAAGGCTCACAAAACCTTTTTTATTTTAAGGGAAATCAAGAAGGTCTACAATGTAAAAATGAGTGTAATTGTGGGTAAGGACAAATACATATATTCAAAGTAGCTTGATAGTATTCTGTCTTAAGAGTAGAAGTTTCTTTCCAATATTCTTTTGAACTTCTGCTTTTCTAAAACTGAGTAATGGTTGTTAAAAGAATTGTTTTGTTCTTTTTTTTTTTCCAGGTGAAACCGAAACATTTATCTTGTATTGGGGTCTGTTGCTTTTTGCTGGCTGGTAGAGTAATTGAAGAAGAATGCAATATTCCATCCATTCATGATGTGATCCGGATTAGTCAGTGTAAATGTACTGCTTCTGACATAAAACGGATGGAAAAAATAATTTCAGAAAAATTGCACTATGAATTAGAAGCAACTACTGCCTTAAACTTTTTGCACTTATACCATACTATTGTATTTTGTCATACTTCAGAAAGGTCAGTGGGATTAAATATAAAAGCTTTTTACTTGAGGGTTATTATAACTAACAGTAAATGTCAATAAGATCTGTGTTTTTACTTTGTTTACACTTTCAACATGGACTTCAAATGAGTCTTTAAATTGTTTAAATCTTTGCATTTTCTTTGTATTGTATAGGAAAGAAATACTGAGTCTTGATAAACTAGAAGCTCAGTTGAAAGCTTGCAGTTGCCGACTTGTGTTTTCAAAAGCAAAAGTAGGTCTATTTTTTGTTTATATGTTTGAATTAAAAAAAAAAAAACTTAAGTATTTAAAAATATTTGTTAAATATTGAATTTATTTTTCTCTTTCTTTGGTAGCCATCTGTGTTAGCTTTGTGCCTTCTCAATTTGGAAATAGAAACTTTAAAGTCCGTTGAATTACTGGAAATTGTCTTGCTTGTTAAAAAACATTGCAAGGTAAATATCTTCATTCCTTATTCTTTAAAGCAATTTTTTTTCCTGATTCACTTTTTTCTATGTTGCTTAACATTAAATTACATTTGATGGGGTTCCTATCTTTTACATTCTGTGTGTGTGTGTTTGTGTGTCTTTAAGTATTGTAGTTCTCAAAATGTAGTTTTGACTTAGATACTATTAAGATGAAGGGAGGGGCTGGTGAGATGGCTCAGTGGTCTAAAGCACCTACTTAGAACAAGCTTAGCAAAGCACAGGGACCGCGGTTCAATCCCCCAGCACCA